TGGTGATGGAGGGAATACTGACTGAGCCGCTGAACACGGTCCGGCTTTCCTGAGGCCGAGGGTTCTAAACAAAAGAGAAAGAAAAGTTCTTCAGCCAGAGAGCAGCCCACTCTCTGCAGAACGTCTGCCTGTCACTACACTGTCCAGACATGAAATGACCCTGACCAGCTGCAGACCCTCCGCCCGCGGAGCCTAACCCAGGGGGCCGCTGCAGGGGGCGCGCACCGCCTGGGGACACTCATGGCAAAGGGGCGGCTTCTGCTGCCGGGAGAGCAGCGGCGGCCCCATGGTTAGAAGCGGCGAATTACATGGACATTGCCACGGACACTGCAGGCACGTGGACAAGGCGTCCACTGCGCACGCGGCTCGTATCAACCGCTGAATAAGCCCATCAGGAGGAAAATCAGTTCAGAGCAGATTCTTTGGGGCAAATGTTTCTCTGGCGCGACACCAAACTGCATTTGCTTCTGCACGTCCCCTCCCAGCGTCTCAGCCCCACATCCGAGCAGCACCGGGTCGCGAACACCAGCCCAGCAGTTTATCATCCATTCAGCTCACAACCACCACGGCCCGGGTGGAGGGACTGAGCCTGGGAATGCTGGTCTGAGTAGTTTTCCATCTGATTAGTGAATGATTTTGGTGTCCAAGGTAGGAAACGGGAGTGATGGAGTCACACACCCCCAGAGAGGGGGTGGCCTCTTTGGGGACCCAACCTTTTCAGCCCAGAAGGGGCGTCAGGCTGACACCGACAGGCGGTTGGAAAGAACAAGTACCACAGCCCGGGGCTCCCCTGCGGCCTGGGGAACCGGAACCGACGCTGCAAAACCACACTCACTGGAAGGCGGCGGGCAGCTGGCCCCAAAGTCACCCCAGCCATTTTGGTCCATATATCAAAGTTGCACAGTCCATGTAATTCTTAGTGTTACTTGTCTAAAGCAAATGCTTTACCTTCTTTCTCTAAGAAATTAAAGAATTCTGAACGTTAACAGTCAGTGCTAATGCTTCACCGTTCACCACCCAGGAGCAACCCTCTGGCGCCAGCGAGGTGCACGCAGTGCCGGGAAGGGAAGGAGAAGAGGTGGGAACGCCCGCCTCCCCCCTCACTTTCCTGGCCTCTGCTACCAACCTGGGGGTGCCTTTTCTATACACTAACAGCCCTGGGATCCATGGCAGAAATGAAGCCCATGGAAGTGCGCTGGTGCTGTAGTAACACTGGATGTTGAAATAATAAAGGGACGATACACAGAAGATACGTTTTGTTAAAAAAGCAACACCAGCCCAGCAGTTTATCATCCATTCGGCTAGAGGTCAGCTTCGTTATAAAGTGATATGAAGCCTCACCCGCTGGCACTTTCATGGGCAAATGTGCTTAAGGCTTGGTGAGCGTTCCAGACAGCAGTGTTTCTATTTATAAACGACCAACTTAAGCGATATTCCCGCCATCTTTTATATGAGAAATGGACTGATTTATACAACATTCTCCTAGGACCCATCCACTGCATCTGTTTCCACACTAAGGCTTACTTTATCATAAGTCATCTTATTTTAAATAAGAGACTTAAATGACAGTTTAAGGTCAAGAACAATGACATTTCGCCCTGACAGGTTTGGCTCAGTGGATAGAGTGCCAGTCTGCGGACTGAAGGGTCCCAGGTTCGATTCCGGTCAAGGGCATGTACTTTGGTTGCGGGCACATCCCCAGTGGGGGGTGTGCAGGAGGCAGCTGATCGATGTTTCTCACTCATTGATGTTTCTAACTCTCTTCCTCTCACTTCCTCTCTGTAAAAAATCAATAAAAAAATATAAAAAAAGAACAATGACATTTATTTATAATACAGACGAAAAGTAGGAAAATGAACTTCTCACCCCGTACCTAGTTTTCTTATTGGAAAATTAATTTACTATGTATACAAATAACAAGTTAATGCTATGATTTATCTAAGCCAGAGGGCACTATAGAAAGTGGGTTTGCATGATATGATCCAAATATTTTATCTATAAAACTAACTTGAGAGCCTTAGCCGGTTTGGATCAGTGGATAGGACATTGGCCTGTGGACTGAAGGGTCCCGGGTTCGATTCTGGTTAAGGGCATGTACCTTGCTTACAGGTTCCCCAGCCCTGGTCAGGGTGCATGCAGGAGGCAACCAATCGATGTCTCTTTCACATTGATGTTTCTCTCTTTCTCTCTCCCTTCCACTCTCTAAACATCAATGGAAAATATCCTCGGATCAGAGTTAATAAAAAACCCACAAGAAAGACAAAAACTAACTTGAGAAACGCCCCCTGCAGCTGCGGTACAGCATGTACTTCTTGGAGGGAATGTGGGTATCCAGTGTCAGTGCCGCCTGCCCTCCACTGCGAAGCCACCGGTAGCAAGACCGAGGCCCAGTGGCCGGCCGGACAGCAGGGCACGGCCAGCCTTCAGAGGCTGCACAGCTGGTGTTTCCTCTCTGACTGAGCGCTTCTCCGGATCCCGGCTGGAGTCAAAGGCACGCCAGCAACCTGAAGATTAGCAAGACCACCTTTCCCTTGTGTTTTCCTGTGGTTCATGAATACTGTTTGGGGGTGTTTAAGCCGGAGGGGATTATTGCAGAGAGGAGGCCTGAGGATAGGCCCTACCACAGACTTCAACGTGACTAAATACAAAACACTTCTCTGAATGAGCTACAGAAAATCCCGAAATCCCGGACCGCTCTTTGTTTTTACAGTAAGGACCCACTTGGGGGCTATTTCTTATCATGGTATCTGTGAGGGAAAATACCACGATGGGAAACGTTTTACTAAACATACAAAAACCTCTAATAGTTTAAAAAATAAAATTGACACCCTCCCTGTCCTCATCTTTCTCTTTAAAAGAAGAAACAAAGTGGAGCTTGAAGACAAGGAGGAGGAGGAGGGGGAGGGGGAGACTGGCCGCTCAGGAGCAGGCAGAGGAGCCCCCAGGTTAGTACATTAACACCCGACTCAGCTGTTCATACCCTCAGAGCCACAGAGCCGGGTGTACCGGGGGCAGAGCGCAGAGACGGGGAATGCGCAGAGTGTACGGAATCAGGAAAGAGAAACTTTTCAGCAGAATTAACAGTCATGTGATAGATGTGCTCAAAGTTGATCGGAGAGGAGATCAGACCGGAGTGATGATGAGGGGATGGATAGGGGAAGCCTGGCTATCAAAACAGAGAGGAGAAAACGGTGATAAGGTGATGAAATGGAGCCACTGGTTACATGTGACATTTCAGACAACATGCATGTAGGAAAAATGAAGCAAGCGCCTCGCATAGAAATGAATCTTTAGTGAAATATTTCCAGGCCGTGGAGTTACATTCTGTAATTCTCTCGCACCAGGTATTAAATTGCTGATTTGCAAACGAACCCTCCACTGTATGAAAGAAACTGCTCTCTTCTATTGCTATCGCTACGTCGAGCGAACACTGGACTTCCAGTCACAGGGCGCTGTAGAGGTCACGCCCGCATTTTCTTACGTGGCCAAACCTACCAGAAACATCAGGATAGGAAAAGCAAGAAGCAACAAAAGAACCAGCGAACCGACAGCCAGCCTCTGACCACAGTTTATGAAACGGCTCTTTTCTTTTTTTGTTTTAAAAGTTGAATTTGCCAAAACCTGTTTGGCTCAGTGGATAGAGCGTTGGCCTACGGACTGAGGGGTCCCGGGTTCGATTCCGGTCAGGGGCGTGTACCTGGGTTGCGGGCACATCCTCAGTGGGAGATGTGCAGGAGGCAGCTGATCGATGTTTCTCTCTCATCGATGTTTCTAACTCTCTATCTCTCTCCCTTCCTCTCTGTGAAAAATCAATAAAATATATTTTTTAAAAAATAAAAAAAATAAAAGTTGAATTTATTGGGGTGACGATGGTTTGCAAAACCATACAGGTTTCAAGTGTACAACTCAATGAAACAAACATCATTCCACAGTTACTACTTTATTAAAGGAAAATAAGACCAGTAATAGCAAACTCATAGCACAAACCTAAAAAGATCAGGAAACATGTCTTTAGAAACCCCAAACCATTTCCTGGTCATTCTAGATTTGTGGCATGAGTTTGCTTTTACTGATCTTACTGTCTTATTATAAAAAGAGTAACTGTGGAATATACTAATTATTGGTTTGTCTTTAAGTAGCCCAAGCTTATCTCCATTTAGATACCCAGAAGAATGGGTTTGTTTTTAACAAGGGAAAAATCGTCCCTTAAATGTTCAGGTGTGTTTAACAGAAATAATGTAAAGCTAAAGGTACAGAAATACGCGCTGGAAGCCCAGGACTCTGGTTTTCAGATAAAATAACTTCTGAGTATTCGGGGCCTGTTACTCAGTACCTAGTCACCTATCAAACCGAATTGTCAAGGTTCAGTTCTTGTACTACTGTTTCCAGAAACATCCTACAACCCCTTAACTTTAGGCTAAGGCTGGATGACTTGCGGCAGAGAACGATGATGGGATTATGTTCCAGGAGCTGAGATAAGCTTTCGTTGCTTAAAAAGAATCGGATAAATTGTGCGGCCTTAAAAGAAAGGCTCCTACATAGGACACTGTTTTAAATGTAGAAATGGGAGTGAAATCAGTACTTTCTCAGGTTACTTCCAAAAAGAAAACAACAACTATTGATATAAATGTAACTTTGATTTTAAGAGGCAAAATTACTTCTTAAAGCTCTCAGAGGTCACTGAGCTAAAAATTTTATTTATTAGTAACTTTAGAAATGGGTAAAAGGCTAAGAAAAATATACCTAATAGAGGTAAAATTATTCTTGTATTCAACTGGAGACAAATTTGTTGTTTATTACCAGTACCCACTGATGAAAAAAGGTAACTGACAAAAAAGATTCAAGAAACCGAACTCAGCAGGTACCTCTCAGGCACACATGCTGTGTGACATCAGCTGCCTGTATTCTCCGGCTCAGAAGGAACATGTGAAAGGTTCACATCTGATACGGGAGGTGAAGGAAAAATACATGACTCTCTCACCCTACTACCTCTTCCACATCCATAAGGCAAACAACCCCATTTCAGTATCACTTTGTTACAAAAGAAACAGAATTAAGCTGCCGAAGACATCCAATAAACTCTCTAAGCATGTACGCATTTCACAGGGAAGCAATACTGACTTGAATGAGTAAAACGTAAAAATGTCTGGGTACATGCTCTTTGCTCGGATAACAATGCGTAACTGTGGTATTTAGAAACTCTTCTTATATGTGTTAATGTTAGATTAATTTAATTCAACTTTATGTTTGGAAATAGTTCATTAATATAGGTACTCCCATTTCAGTTGAAAGAACATACTAAATTCTGAGAATAATAAAGTATACAAGCTTCTCGATAAGTAGGGATACAGGCATTCATATTGTTTCGTTTACCAATGTCTACCCCAAGACAAGCGTGTTCTGGGTAGACAGTATATCCAGAAATATTTGCTGGTGTGAAATGGACGCCTATGAAAAGCCCAGTTTGAATGTCCTCTGCTAGTAAAATGAAGTCAGGTGAAAATAAAGTAAGATGTGACTGTAAAAATAGGAATTCACACACACACAACCTTTAATGCAATACTACACGTCCAGGTGAGCAGGTTTCAAAAATGTGCACCAGCTTCTCGTCCTAGAAACACAACAGTGCTACGCGATAGGAAAGCATGAGAGGAATGGAGGGACGTGAAAAACTGCTGGGGGGAAGTCACTCGTGTTAGTGACAAAAAGAATCAGCGAGGTGGTCATGGGTTAGTGAACTCAGTGACCACAAACACTGAAAATCACGCGGGCTGCGGGAGTGAGCAGCCAGCACAGAAGGCACGTGTCATGACGTCACGTGGGGACGAACCTTTGGGAAATGCTCTCTGAACTTGATTTGCCTGGACTATACTTGGAACAAAAAATAAAACAGAGACTTCTTTTCAGTGAGAAAGGGAGAGAAAGGAGGGATGCTCTGATAGGAAAGTTCTTAGGATGTTTGCAACCTGACAGCGTCAGTGGGCTTATTCAGGTCTTCATACTGTGTATGAAGTCAAAGAACTCGGGAACATCAGCAAATTGATTTTTCACTTCACGGTAGAAAAATACCAAACAGAGAAACATTTTATTAAATCCTAAAACTATTTCACCTTAAAGAAGATACTGTAATATGTGGGATATAATAGACTTTATTGAAAGATTTTCTTCTTGTTATGTTGTTGGAACCCTATCTAATGAAAGAGTATTATGCAAATTAACCATCACTCCGTCACAAAGGTGGCGACGGCCACAGAGCTGGAGCAAGCAGGAGGCTTGGGTTGCGCCCTGGTGATGGAGGAAGCCAAGCTTCCCGCCTGCTCTGGCCAGCCCTGGGCTCTGATCAAGGCAACAAAGTTTCTATTCTAGAAGATAAATAAATCCCAGATACCTGCTTCCAGCCTGCGGCTGTGGCCAGCCTGAAACCGGTTCCCAGCCCCTCACCCAGGCTGGCCAGGCACCCCAGTAGGGAACCACACCCTGAAGGGGGTGTGGCCAGCCTGAAAACGGCCCTCAGCCCCTCACCCAGGCTGGCCAGGCTCACCATTGGGACCCCCCCACCCTAAAAGGGGGTGTGGCCAGCCTGCAAACAGCCATCAGCCCCTCACCAGGCTGGCCAGGCACCCCAGTGGGGACCTCCACCTTGATCTGGGACACCCTTCAAGGCAAACCAGCCAGCCCCCACCTGTGTACCAGGCCTCTATCCTATATAATAAAAGGGTAATATGCAAATTGACCCTAACAGACCAACGGGGAATGACTGGTCACTACGACACACACTGACCACCAGGGGGCAGATGCTCAATGCAGGAGCTGCCCTCTGGTGGTCAGTGCGCTCCCACAGGGGGAGCTCTGCTCAGCCACAAACCAGGTTGATGGCTGCCAGCACAGCGGTGGTGGTGGGAGCCTCTCTCGCCTCCTCAGCAGCGCTAAGGATGTCCAAATGCAGCTTAGGCCTGCTCCCCGCTGGCAAGTGGACATCCCCAAGGGCTCCTGGGCTGCCAGAGGGATGTGTGACTGCCAGCTTAGACCCGATTCCCCCCAGGTAGTGGGCCTAAGTCAGCAGGTGGACATCCCCCGAGGGGTCCCAGACTGTGAGAGGGCACAGGCTGGGCTGAGGGACCCCCTTGAGCTCACAATTTTGGTGCACTGGACCTCTAGTACATGATATAAAAACTGTATTCTTTTTTGTGCACTACAATGAAGTAAAACTGAAAGAACATTTAATTTTAAAAGAACAATATCCATTAAAGCCTTGTTAACTGCTGAAATAATTTTGCATTTGCTTTGCATCATATATGTATGTGTTCAAAATTTATATACTTTTATCTCTCCATAATGCTAACTATATATCAGGTGTTGAAAAACTACTTACTATCTACATTTCAAAAAGTTTCATTAAAATAGTATATAACACTTCATCAATCATACAGAAGCTATAAATATATTCACATTTCAACTGTATCATAATTTAAAAATTCTCTTAAGGTACTTTGTACGTGGCAAGGTAACTTCCATAGGGAAAACGACAGAGGCTTTGTGCTGTGTGGCTGATAAATTTCCTTCTGGGAATAAAGGGAAACCAGACAGGGCTTTAAGCAAATTTTCAGGATGGGAAAAGAAAGGAGAGAATCTGAAATCTCAGTCCCAGGCAAAAGCTGAAAAAATAATTTAGCATTTAAATATAACAGTTTAATATGTAGACTCAGCCTCTATTTAGGCCCAGTATTTTTGGCCTAATATGTATGCTTAGCCTTACATTTTCTGGTGTTAATTACTATGCCAACATTAGCTGCACTCTTTTTGTAGTTTATTTACATTAACCAGCACAGCTAATGAAAGCCCCATTCCAAAAGGATAAATGACTATTATGAATGATTTGCACGCAAAGGCAGGAATATTAGTGTAACCACATAACGTCTTATGAGAATGTCACTTTCATTCATAAGCAGACCACCTGGTTAATTGGGATATTTACAATGAGGAACTTGGACTCAAATGAATGCACACTTTTTGTTCCTCCCATGAAATCAACGCAAAACTACCTATAAACGCTTCATTTTTTATTTTTGAAAAACTTGACCACACATTAAATTATATTACCTATCATTTTCCCAGCAGTGACATTCACATCTGCTATGACCATAGAGTTAGTAATGTGGACAGTTAACAGGCTTCCTTAGCAAGAGCTGTGGGTCACAGTTCACAAATCGTCTCCCAAATTGCCACAGTCTATAAGTTACGCTTAAAATTCTGTGCCAGATCTAGATGCTATCACCACTGACAACAGGTCCTGCTAAAGTTTCAATAGCGTGTGGAGAGCACTTGGAGACTGGAATGTTAAGTGTAAGTGGAGCGCACTAATAGACTTAATTTCAACACAATAGGTCCAAGAATCCAATCTTAATGCTGTTAAGAAAAAAACAATAGTTTTCCCATGTGGCACTTTTTAAAATTTCATCATCAGATGACAGGTGTGACCTTTAAAGACCAAGCCAGTGTACATCTGCACCGAATCGCTAAAATGTAATGAGGTCTGAGTGATTTGGTCACCATGTTCTGAATCCTGGTAGGAACCTCTTCGAAGCTGGAGCTTATTTTACCAACGAAGGAAATCTAGGTGTGGGACAAGTTTATAGGTTATGCAACTACACAGAAACTTGACGTCTCTGGTGTTTGACAGATGGCTAAAGTTTATATTTTTCTCATCAGGTATGCTGTCATGCATCTCACATACACTGTGACACTGTGATAACATTTCCTCATCATCCTAACATATGCTGCCGGGAACCCAGTCCAGCATGTCATAATTTCAAGAGTTTCATCAAAAGGTTGATGAGACTTGGGGACTCAAAAGGGTTGAGTCACACATGTAGTCACCTGTTGGGAATGGCTAAAGGCATTTCCCCAAACCTGAATAGGAAACTGATTGTGGCTGCCAGACAGTTAAAGGGCATCTTAATCTACATGTTATTGCCTCCTACTGGCCAAACACCTGAACAGCTGTAGGCTCATTCCCCCATTCTGACAATGGACTCTACCAAACCCTGACTCTCTGAAGTGCCCATCTCTGCCTCGCCTCGGGACAAGTTGTGTTAATAAAAAGCATCGGGTCCTGGGGACGGGGAGGACCTAAGGCCTTAGACTTAAGATCTTAGAACTGAGCTCCTTAAGCTAAGCTCCTCTGACCCCCAATGCCTTTCAAAATATATTTCGTTTCCGGACTCTTTATTAGTCCCTGGACTTATTTAACATCTACGCACAGCCCCTTCTCCAGATTCTTGAACCCTTCTTGATGCTGGGACAAGAACCCCGGCAATATGCTTTTAAGTCATACACACACACACACACATATATATATCTGAGCACATATATGGGGGGTGCAAAAGCAGGTTTACAGTTGTTCATATGGAAAGACATGCAGGTTATGATGATCACAATAGCTTTATTAACTCAAAAGAATGTCACATGCAACTGTAAACCTACTTTTGCCCACCTCTGTACACACACACACACACACACACACACACACATTCTCCCCTCCCTTACTCTTAACCCCAATTCATATTCACATTCACTCTTCATTTCTCTTACCATGGGCAGGTCTTTTAGGATCTGTATTCCATCTCCTGGACCCATGTGTGCTATGTGGTTAAAATTAGTTGGGTTAGAAATTAATTTATTTCTCATTTCAGGATCTCGTAGCATCTCTCTGTAAGAGAAGACAACTGCTTAGACATTTCTTCTATGATCAATCTAGATAACTCTAGAAACAAATTACGTATACATTACTTTTTCATAAAGATATTGTGAAATCATGTCCATATGGATAGGATTAAAATAATATAAATAATCAATTAAAAACTTACTTAGATTTGTTTTACCTTTTAAGTAAAAGATCTTACAATTTTTGGTGAGAAAAGAGAGCATTTTAGTACAGAGACATCGAAGAAGCTCTATTCTATTTCACAGATAATTTTGAGCATTTCTGTATGTCTCAAAATAATTGATAACACTTAGAAATATTTTTACATGTAATTGGAATACTATAAGCCTATTTCTGTATGCTCATAAAGAGAATAGTGAATCTAAAGTTCTTAAATATATAAGGTTTACTATTATGCAATGATTGGTTCTATGTTTACATTAAAACAAGGTTCGCATTCTAAAACTTCTAACTACTCCACATACATAGAGAAATGAATCAAAATATGGTATTTGAGTCTAATTCACACAACTTGGAGAGTGTTGATTAAAGTGGCTCTGAGACGTGCAGTCATTTTGGCAATTTTTAAACCACAGATGAATGACAGATTTTCAGAGATCAAATTTTCCTTCCAAAACACATATAATATTTTCACCAAACAGCCCTTCCCATGCTAACAGCATGTGTGGATGACGCAGAGAATGGAAGCAGCTACCTCCTCTGTTGCATCCTTTCCTCTTCCGGGACCCTGAAGGAGTAACGCCGCTTGTTGTTAATATTTCTAACCATTTGTTTTCGACTGTTGTCTGTGGTTTCAGGAACTACCAGTTCATCCCCTTCTGTTTAAAAAATACAGAGAACAGTGATGTTCTTTAAAGTGCTAGAATGTTTTTTACCCATTCATCTTTAAGATAGTATAAACTTAATTGTGCAATCACAGTACATGCAATTCTGATTTTTAAAAGTTGTGTTAATGATCATCTATACTAATAAAAGGGTAATATGCTAATTAGACCAGACATCTTCCAGACAAAGCCATGGTGGCAGGGGCCGAGGCAGAGGCAGTTAGGGGCGATCAGGCAGGCAGGTAGGAAAGTGGTTAGGAGCCAGCAGCCCCAGATTGCGAGAGGGATGTCTGACTGCCAGTTTAGGCCCGATCCTGTGGACATCCCCCGAGGGGTCCCAGATTGGAGAGGGTGCAGGCCGGGCTGAGGGACCCCGCCCCGTGCACAAATTTCATGCAGCAGGCCTCTAAGTAGTAAAATAAGCAATAATTTTCAACAGTACATAAACAGATAGATGCTGAAATTAAACATGACTTACAAAGGGTAATTTCACTTTTATTTGATTATAAACATAAAATAGCACAATTTTACTAGAAAGAAAGACAACTGTAGTTGCCTCAGTGCTCGGTCCCTCTGTCCACCCTCCCGCAATGACTACACTATCTTCTCTCCCTTTCCAGGTGTTGGTCTCACGGTCTCAGGGTGTTACGCTATTGCTAACCTGCATAGCAATCAGGCATCAATGGTAAATTTTTCATGTAAATGGTAGGTACAATTACTTTTACATATTAAAACATTTCCTTCGATGATGCCATCTGCGAGGTGTAGGGTCAGGAAAAGGAAGCGTTGTCCTACCAGCTGCCTTTACCACAGGCAAGAATCTGTCACCTTTCCACTCTTCTCATCTAGGGGCAGATGATACTGATTCATATACACCGAGTGAGCCGTGACCATCTCATTCTATTTCAATTTTAAATACGCAGAAGTAAACAAAACTGTCAGCCATGGGCCCTCAAAACCTGCTGGGGTACGTGAACATACTGTCAAGTAGACAACTGTACCCACAACATGGCAGATGCCATTCTCTAAGCAAGATCAGGGAAAAGAGAAAAGGCTCTAAGCCTGATACTCGAATGGCAGAAGGTGTTCCCACAGCCCCAGACAGGAACTCTGGATGAACTGTCACAATTTGGGGGCTACAAGCCTTGGTTAGGTTCTACAGTATGAAACGTAAAGAGAACACATTCAGTCATCCTTTCTCTACTTACCTTGGTGTTCCACAGAAAAACAACAAGGTCCGTCAGAAACAATACCCTGACTGCACAGCTACACAAGCTAAACAGAATGGCTCTGTCCAGCAGTTAAGCTCAGTCTACTGAGAGAGTGTGACAGCAGCCAGGATCACAGACTTCGGAGAAGACACAACTGAGCGTGAATCTGGGCTCGGCCATTTCTTATCCCCAGGCAGTCAGCTTAGGGAGAACATCCTATTGAAGCTATCCTGTTAATGTGCATTTTCTTACCTGCCATCTTATTTTTGAAATAAATTAATCTAATCGTCTCCAAGCCTAAAAGATTTAATGATCCTTCACTGTTTAAGGGTCGAACCTAAAATAATAAAAAATAAAATCAGTATTTCAACAAAACCTTCAAAAATTAAACCATAAAACTTTTGGCCTATTTATAAACCACACACATTTATCTTATCCTTCCTCTCCAAAATATAGCCCTCTCAGAAAATCAAGAAAAAATTAACATTAATTCTGACTGGGAAGGTATAAAATTATCTAATTTGAACAAAGTTATAATGATAACATTTTAAAGGAAGACTATTCTGGACAAAAAAAAGTAGAAATACATTTAAACCTTAAATTTGACTTCTTTAAAGCCATTAGTGGCCAAATTATTATACTAAGGTATCAACACGGACACTTTATGACTCTTGTTTGAACTAAATGGACAAATAGCATAGTTAACTGGGGACATGCAAATTAATACATCAATGAGATATCACTTTATAACCATTAGCAAGGGCTATAAAACTATGAATTCTGACCATGGCCAGTGTCAGAGAGGTCAGCAAAAACTCTTACACACTGCTGGTGGGAGTGCCAACAGGTATAATTACTTTGGAAAATGATCTGACATGAGCCTGTAACACCAAACACTTGCATTTTCCATGCACCATCAACTGCGTGCCCAGGCACAGGACTTAAACTCCTGCACACACACACGCACCAGAAGATGTGCGCAATAATGCTCATAACAGCAAAGAGCTCGGCAATAAGGCAAGTGTGCCAATCAGAGAACGGGTAAGTTATGATCTATTCACCCAACAATATTTTATAGTGAAAGCAAAGACTATATGGAACAACATGGCGGCTGGCGCATGGAACAACAGTGAATCTTAGAAACACAGTGAATGCATGAAGAACACAAGGTGGAAAGTGATATACAACATTTTATGACCTCAAATGCAGGCAACACTGAACAATATATTGTTTAGAAATATTTAAATATGCAAAAAATTCTGGCTTTTGTGATGAGCAAGGAAATGATAAACAGCACTCGGGGAGTGGTTGCCTGGAGGGAGTGTGCGATAAGAGAACACACCGGCACATGCAGTGACAGGTAATCTTCTGGCTCCTAAGTTAGGAGGTGGGTCCACAAGTGGTCAGTTTAGTAAGGCTCTTCAAGGTCACACATTCTTTCATATAGATTGTAATGTTTACACAGCAATAAAAGGGACACTGATTGTAACCAACCAAATGGACAAACCAGAGGACTGTGCTCAGCAGCTCTGCAGTGTGGCGGCATCTGCAGGAGCTTCTTCCCTGATGATGGGGCTTAAATTGAGGAAGATTTTGAAATATGGCTGCTTCCTTCCACCTGTTCTTCTAACCCTCGCCCCTAACAAGTGATACCTGCTACTAATTCTACGTGAAACGACTACTCTTGCAAAATAACCATTCTATATTAAAATCCTACAAGTTTCTCTTTACATTATCACAGGGAAATGTTAAAGAAAAATATTGTTTTACTGGGAACATGTGAAAGCTTTATGTTTTAATTATGAGATGATTAAACACAGTTTTGGTTCTAATTCTAATCATTCTTCTGGCCTGTAAATTTGTCCTCACAGGATTTCAAATTGAACACCGTTATGTGCAAAACATCATAATTAACAATAATGCACCCCCTCGGAGCTCCTCAAACCAGAGGGGAAGTTAACGCTGACATCTTAGGTCAGGGGTCCTCAAACTATGGCCCGCGGGCCACATGCAAATACAAATATTGTATTTGTTTCCGTTTTGTTTTTTACTTCAATATAAGGTATGTGCAGTGTGCATAGGAATTTGTTCATAGTTTTTTTTTAAACTATAGTCCGGCCCTCCAACGGTGTGAGGGACAGTGAACTGGCCCCGTTTAAAAAGTTTGAGGACCCCTGTCTTAGGTCGTAGGACGCACTCTAGTTGTTCATGATAATAATCATACTTCATACAGAAAAACTAAAGTCATAAGAACAGTATGGAACTGAGCTACTTATAAGATTAACCGGATTGATTTTTGATTGTTTTTCATCCTTAGCTAAATTAGTGAAAATGAGCGAAATAGTCATGTTAGTGTTTACTACACACATCAGTTCGCTCAGCCCGTATTTTAACGTTGTTACCTTTTTGAGCGGGAGCGTCTGAATCCACTCCATGGAGTTCACATCGAAGACGTCCACCGCGTTTTCACTGTACACGGACAGGTAGGGGGCATTGTAGCCTGGGAGGAGGGGAGAGAGCAGCCGGCTGGTTACCTTTAACTATTCATTAAAGCCAGGTATTCCATTTCTTACTCCACATAAGTCGAACTCTGAATCATCTGACTAGGCTACAAAACAGCATTCATTCTAAACATGATGCCATAGATATGAGTATGTATTTCGCAAGGAACAAAACGTGAAGTACAGAGATGTCTCCGTTTGTGGATAAGAAGTATTTTTCTTCTCCTTATCTAGATTTCCTGGTGTTTCTGCAATAAATGTCCTTCTGC